TCCCACGATGAGATCACGAGGCTTGAATGGTCATCAGTGTTTAACAGTTACGGGTTTGCAAAGAAAAAGATGCCGTCTACGACTTCTGCTCAATTTTTCCTTTGTGTACAGTGTGTCATCGAAAAAACCTCGGTTTCTCCTCGGACACCGTGGGCGAGGTTACGTATCAAAATCTTGCATTGTATCTGGTTTGCTGATTTGCTACTTTGCGAATTGCAAGGAAATGAGCGATTACTCTTGCAAATACTATAGCAAATCGGTTGGTCTCAGTCGTGTTCAGAAGGAGGTTGTTTTGATAGATATGAATTGATTAGGTTTGAGATTGATCAGAATTACGTTGACGGTTTGTTATTACAAGGTGATATTATTACAAGGTATTATTATACAAGGCTTATTATTTATACAAGGTATTACGAAGTTGTTTATAATTACAACGCTATAATAGTAGCGGACAGTTTGATGCAGCGATTCTATTCGCCGATTACTCCGAAGTGTTCCTCCTTGTCCTTCGATTTTTCCATCCAATTTTTGATGCATCAAGCTGCAACGAAACTCATTCTTATAGAAAAATACTACACAAAATTTGGCACCAGTTGAACTACACCCTGCACCGTGCGAGTCGTTCGGAATGTGGTTTAATTGCTAAAAAATTTGCAGTGGGTTTCTCTATGCTTAAGTGATTTATTCTTGCCTAAAAAATGCATCGTTTTATTCCGCTGAACTGGACCATTCTTGACCGGTATGATGACGAGGAACGCTAAATGGCAGTTAACATTTACTGTCAAATTAGAAATTTTAAGCGTTGTACGCGAGCAATGTGCAATATAATGAAATGTTTCTGGATAAGCATCAATTATTTTCTGATTGTTGTACTCACTAAATTGCTGAGATATAAAAATGTTTGGTGAATGCATGCTGTTGCAGTCGAGGAACTATGCAGTCACAAAGACTTACTTTCGAAAGACATTCATCAATAGTGATCCTCGAAATTTCGAGGGGATTTATTTATCTAATCGCATTTTGCTTGTGACTCATTGTCAGTCCGTGTCTAAAGATTTTAGATCATTCGCTAAAACACCACTAAAAGAGTAAGGTGAGTAAAGATCATTCTGAAATGAGTTCAGCAGGCAGATAAGACGAATTGTATAGGATAGCAATCTCGAACGAATGTGCATTTATTTTACAAGACTAATAATAAATTATAATAATGAAGGCAAACAGGTAGATAAGCAGGAGCACATAATATGATTACCTTCGTTCATCTCTTCTACTGCCTCGCTATTTGAACGAATATGCGTGATAGGAGTGCACACTGGAGATGAGTTGGCAGTGGTCGAATGGTAATGGGAATTGTACAGATGGCTCGTTTATTCCATTTTACAGTGCATAAAATTTGTATGAAAGAGAGATTGCAGCGCTATCTGTCGCGAAATTGAAGAAATATTAGTGTCAACATGCATTGCTGTTATTGTCGTTTGATCATCACTAATTGATTCCATAGAGTTGTTGGTTTTATTTCAAATCTATTTCATTGTATTTGCTCGTATACGATCCTGTTCATGCATTAAACTGATTTTTTTTTCAGTTGAACAGCATTTACTTAACTCAAATTGTATTCACATTCATGTCACTATTTTTTCTTGATATTTAGACGGAAACCTAATTCATTTTGTACCGTGTAATAATACTATTTTGATTGTATGCATATTAATGAGAAGATTCCAAATAATGACGGTGTTGAACTTGTCCATAGCACATGATTTAATACGTCCAAGATTTCATGAAGCAATGTGACGAAGCTAAGAGCTTCAAATGAGAATCAGATGTCACGTGCCACTGTCGGCAAGTATTTATATGTGGTTGATGATGAATCAAAGAATCAGTTATTGCTGGCAAAAGATTCCGAAATCCCGACTTTTTAGTCCCGATCCCGGAATTTTTGTTCTGAAAAATCGGAGGATGTCAGGATTTGATAGAACGCAGCATTTTACACAATTTTGGTAATATTTTCATTTTGTATTACGCGTGAGTCATTCCCATGTTTAGTAGTATTTGTTAGAAAATTTGCCAAAATCTTCTATGGCATGATAAAAGTAGTGATTCGAAACGTATCGTAAATATTTCGCACGAACGAACGAAGGAGAGAGTTGCGAATATGGAAAATATGGAAAAATTGTTCAGATCGATTAAAACGATCCTACTGACAAGTGGCGAACCAGAAGAGCTTTCATTTCATTTTCGTTTTCGCATGCAAAACTGATTGTGAAACGCGAATGAGCGATTCAACAATTGACGATCTAATGTTTCTTACAGCGTGTTTTAAATCTCACTAAAAATATTCTCTGAATGTTGTAATGGAATGCTAATCTTTATTCCGATTTTTTTGTTACAGTTAAAATGATCATTCCAGTTTCTTTCGATTTCATTTCCTCTATTTTCATATTTTTTATATTTGAATGCCATTAAATGTATAATTCAATTTTAGTGAGTTTGAAACCTTTAAGATTTTCAAAAGAAAATGCTAACAAGTAATATTCGCGGGTTTCCTTTTAGTTCAGGCATAAGCGACTGAAAATAATACATTAAAGTTGTTTAGAAAAAAGTTAAGATATTGCTACGCAAAATTTAGTTGTGTATGTTACATCTGAACTGTTTTTTCTGTTGTAATGTTGATGGTTTGTTCCGAGATTTTAAGATTCTGTTACCTGCATGATTTGTTAGATGAATTGCTTCTCAAGTAATACGACTGCATTGACCTTCTACATTTCTAAAGGTGCTGAAACTCGGAGTTGTCTTGTGATTGAAAAACGATGCCAAGATTGAAAAAATGATCGGGGTTTTGCAAACACTAAAATCAATCGACCAAAATGTGTTATGCGTTCGAAGCCTTCAATAGATTATTCAAAACACTCTGCATTACAGAAGAGTGTGAATTACTCTCGATGTGTGATATAGTGCAAATAAAGTACGACGACTGTTCAGTATGCTGGATCTTGATTTCAAGCATGACTCTTGTTATGCGTTCAGAACAAGTCTATATTGAGTGCGTATCACTAATGCATATTGTTAGCTACTGCTAATTTACATTTATTTCAACATTGTCGTTCGCATACATCAGAATCAAATTGCTTTGCTAAATTGTAAAATGCTCATGTAACGAACGTTCAATCGATTCATCAATTCAAACATTTCATTCTACCTATTGAACAATCTGCCAATTACCATTCATTATCGGCTAAAATATATTGCATTCTAATTAAAATCTCATCTTATTCACTTCCTCCGTAATCAGAATGCTGTTGTTCTCATAGTTGTCATTACTGAAGGACTCATGGAAACTAGTCGTTGTTTATGTGAACGAAGCGAGCTAAGTCTCCAAAGAAAAAAACTGACGATTTGATTTCTTCTTCAGTTCTTTCAACATTCAGCCGTAAGATTCATACAGCTGATACGTATATCATTCAATCGATTTATTTTATTTGATCATTTTCGCAATTAAATTGCATGATTTTTTTCCAGTTGAATCTAACAGATGGAATATTAGCAAAATTGTTCATAATCAACAACGACATGGAATTATTTATTTTACGCATAAAAAAAGGAGTTTATTCATATGATGTTTCACAAAAAATCATTTGTACATTAATTTTTGTCTTTTGACCCAGTTCTAGAGCTGCCCATATCGCAATCAATTATGGTCGATATTCCATTTCACTGAACAACAATTATTCATCGATTATTTCAATTGTCTGATTCATTTTACTTATTTTGCAACTTTCATTGTAAATTGTTGTTCTTCTCTCGGTGTTCAAACTAGTATTCAAATATTTGAGTAGCATCTTGAAAACCTTGAAGAAGTAATCATGGTATCGAATAGCTTACCCATTTGTAAATCTCTTACGAGTGTAGCGATACTCACGGGTGTATTTCGGTCCCATCCACTTGCAATAGGCGAGGCGTCAGGCTCAGCTTTGCTTAGGTTTGGACCTATGCCTAGGCCTACAGGAAACTAAAATACGCCCGTGAAAAGCTTGCCGATTTCCACTATCTTCATTCGACTTCTGTTACCTTTTCTCATTATCATGGAGCAATCAACTGTTCACGTTGGCGGTAGCGATCGTAACAGTTGTTTGCTTCTCATCCAGTGTGAACCTTCAGGATTATATGCAAACAATATAAGAACGCTTTTTTCTCGAGGACTGTAAGTTCATAGTTTTGTTCCCAAAACAGAAATGTGATGTTTGCGTGTACCGAACCTTATGAATAAGTTCAATATACGTGATGTACATGTTCGATATAATAGAATGCGTGTCTGAACTTTTCATGACTGTTCATTTATGACTATTATTTATGACAGAAGTACTCCTTTCAGAGCATACAAATCATTTCATTCAGTATCAATCGAATTACTAACACAAAATGGTTGATATAAGAAGGTTGGTGTGTTTCACTTCCGATGATCAATGACTTCCGTCTTATTGCAGAAAAAAAAAGTTCCTACATTTATATGTGAGTAATAAATTTAGGTATATCGGAAGTTTCGATACAGTTCAACTTTAAAACTGAACTATGGAGCGTTTTTATGCTCTGAATTCAGAGCATTCATTTTCCAGAGAAGTGTGCTACCAATGTGTTAACAAGAATTATGAATAAGTCAGTGATGCCAATTCGCATCTGTGTATTGTGCAGTGATTGTATCGTACGGACAATACACTGACGAATTGGCTCGTAGAATGTGCAAAAAAAAATTCACGAAATAGCACTTCATCGTTGAGTTGTTTTCAGTCGCTCAAAAATGCTCAGCTTTAAAATTTATTTGTATGTTATCGAGGAGCATTGTAAGTTTGTGTATTAAGTTTTACTCATTTTAATGGCATCAGAATGAGAAGATGCATTCAGTTTTCTGTTGAAAGATCTACGCAGAAAGTTTTGGTTGCGTGAAAATGCAGAAAACGGCGTGATCGTTTATATTATTACATTGAAAGAAAAAAAACTGAAAATTGAAATTCAGGTTTGATATTTATCGAAAAGTACCCAAAGATTTAACGCAACCAACAAGAACGGGTGCTATAATCTCGATTGTATGTGTTTCATTCATTTTATTTATGCTATTCAATGATCTACGAGCGTTTCTCTCAGTTGAAGTGTAAGTTAGTTGATATCTTTTCGAAATAAATTCAACAATTATTCGTTCTTATAGAGAATATATCGATGAACGGTTTCAATTTATATCTTCACTTCAAGGAATGAAGCATTTGTATTTGGATGAACTTGAACAGAATTGTCCCGGAAACGGAAATTTTGGAAGAGATTACATCAAAAACATTGCTCAAAATAGTTGATAAAATGTGAAAATTCAATGCTTGTGCCTAATAAATTTGTAGATACGTATTTTACTTCGGATGAAGTTATCATTTTTTTTAGTTTATTCATCACTGATCTATGTTTATGAGCAACTCTTTCGCAGTTTATTATGGGAATTTGTTTGGTGAACAATTAACGCATTTGTTTGCTTGCCTAACGATCAATGGCTGTAGTGCCTACAATGAAATATATTAATATTGATGTTGATCGTTCATCAAAAGTAATGATTTGGATCGTTATCATTTCAGTAAATCTGAATTATTTGTTGATGATCCTGGACGTGAAGGACGAGTGAAAGTGCATGTGAATGCAACACTGCCATATTTGTCATGCGAATGTAAGATTCAGTTGTTCATTTCAACAGTTATTCACTTTATTTGTTGCTTTGTAGTCATGCATGTTTTCCCAAATGCTGCCCATACGCCCTCAACGTTATCAAATTTTTGTTCGAGAATCATTCACTAAACTATACCGAATCAATCAAAACGAATTTTGTTCATACAATCCATATATTTTCACAACTCTGTAAACGTTTACTAACAAGAAGCTCTGATAAACGAATAATGTATACTTTTTATAGCAATCGTGTGTGAAAAGTATCCGATTTATAAATATTTTGCAATTAATTTTATATCAGACTATTATGCTCATGTTTTGTTTTTTATCTCCTCTTTTTGCTGTAACGAAAACGTCGGAAATTTTCGGTGCATATTCAATAAGTTTTACACGAAAACATTCTCATTATAATTTATATGCGGCTTCCAGCAGCAGCTTCCTATTTACAATCAATTACAATCTGTCTGTAAACTGTAGATGTTTTGTTGCTATTTTCAGATTCTTTTCAAAAACAATGGAATTAAACCAAAGGAAGAAACAAGATGTATGTGTAAGATAGACGAAACACTTAAGCGAAATCTTTCTTTTTCAGACGTAGGAATAGACATACAGGATGAGAACGGTAGGCATGAAGTTGGCTTCATCAAAGATATCGCGAAAGAACCCACTGCTGAAAATGGATGCAGATTCGAAGCAAATTTTGAGATTAACAAGGTGAAACTGATTACTGCGACATTTTCTTTAGCAGTTAATTCTTTGTAGTGCTCGGTCCCAAAAGCGAACATCTACAGTTATTCTGCCAGCGTTTTTATGTCACTTGAAAAACAAAAAGCGCGAAATTGATATTCTAATTTGTATTCAAGTAGCAATACCCAAAACCATGGCGCGAATTTTGAACTGCCTCTTAGTTTATACTCAATGAACCCTTCTGATACAGTGATTTAGATTTTTCAAAAATTATGGTTTGGAAGACGTGAAAAGTTTCGGTAATTTATTGCAGGTTCCGGGCAATTTTCATCTGAGCACACATTCAGCTGCAATGCAACCAGACAATTATGATATGAGGCATATTGTACATGCAGTGAAGTTCGGTGATGACATGCATGTAGGTTTTTTACGTTTCTAATACGAAAATTTTGAACCATCGAGGTACTTTTCCGCGAAGCGTTGCTTTCAGCTGCTGATGAACAAATTCCAGGATAAAGCTCGAATCGGAAGCTTCAATCCATTGCAGAATCGCAACGCTTTGAATGGCGAATCACTGAGCACGCATGAATATATATTGAAGGTAAATTTTGTGGCACTGATTGCGAAAGAGTGAAATTCTGTGAAGAGCCTTTGCAGATTTTGCGCACATCAGTATCAATCTGCTTCTAAAAAAACGTAGTCACATTCACATTCGAAAATTGCCATTTTAGAACACCTTTCATTATTATAAACTTGCAGAACGATCTAAGCTATTTCACAAAATTATTCCACATTAATAGCTTGGACTCTTCAATTCAGTGCCTTCACTTTTTCGTGGATCATTTGTTAATTCTTGATGAAAACAGAAAACTTTATTTCCACATAATTTTCCTTTCAAATCGCATCCTTTCGTCACATTGAATACAGAATGATAATAGTCTTAAAATTATTTCCAGGTTGTACCATCAGTTTACGAGGATATTCATGGTAAAATGCAATACAGCTATCAGTATACATATGCACACCGAGAGTATATTAGTTATCATCACACGGGAAGGATTATTCCAGCAATTTGGTTCAAGTATGAATTGCAACCGATCACTGTCAAATACACTGAATCAAAACAACCATTCTACACATTCCTCACTTCGGTCGGTGTTCGTATCATCTTAGCATTTGTTGAGAAATCAACTTTGAGATAAGAAGTCATTTAGGATTGTCGATGATAAAAGCATATGCTATTCGACGAATTTAGGTTCGTACCATAAAGCATGTTGGTTCGTTCGCTGTAATCTTGATCTAATCTTTTTTAAGATGAAGCATTCTGAAGATTCAAGGATCATCAATATTGATGTTCCAGTTGCATTTTCGCACTTCTACAGTCATATTCAGCATTCACTTTCAACGGTCATTTCAGGTGTGTGCTGTTGTTGGAGGAACATTTACCGTCGCGGGTATAATCGATTCCACACTTTTCTCATTGTCGGAATTTTATAAGAAATATCAAATAGGTAAACTCAGTTAACAGAAGTTGCAATTTATAGTCAAATTGAAGGATGCCTTTCCAATGAATTGTTCGTGTTGTGGTCAGTATTGATATCGTTATTCAGTTATGCAATTTGGTGTCATTTTCAATTCGAATGATGTTACGCACTTAAAATTTTAATTCTTTTACTTGATGCTCGTATCAGAGCCTGAATAACGACGGTGTTCCGTAGTATAGAACTTGAATGTATCGAAACCGCAGCCATTCTGAAGATGGTTCTTTTCAATGAAAATTTCAAAAATTGTACCACGTATACTAACTTTCAATACCTTGTTATTTGTTATTGCACATGAACAAGTTCTTTCAAACGTGATTTTTTTACAGGTTATCATTATCATTATTTTTGTGGGTATTATTATTATTATTATTATTATTATTATTACTAATATTTAATGTTAGTAATAATAATGATAATTGTTATTATTATCATTATCGTTGAGATATTCGATATTATTTCAAATTTATCGCAGGGAAAAATGTTAAATAATAAACAACAATGAAGAACGAGTGTAACAGTGAAAACAACATTTTCAAATTAATAACAGCAGTAATAGGTAGTTCAAGAGATGAAGCACTTAGAGCACATGTGCGAAGATTGAAGGTAAAAAACAAAAAAAAAAAAGAGAATTTGAACAAATAAGGAAATTATCGTTTATCAGAAACAAATTGTATAAAGTGTGATCATGAGGAGTTGTACAGTTGAAAACTGAAATGATTATTTTGCAAGTAATACCTGCGATGGCTTCTGGAACGGGTCAGTGTTTTTACAAGGAGAATATTTGCTGGTAGTTTATTCCAAGAGCTTACTATTTCACGCAGAGGAAAGTGCTGTTGAAGTTGTTCGTCTGTTCTTCTGAATTCCATAGGGATGACCTCGTTCACAAAGGAAATGGCTGAAGAAAAAAACAACCGGATTCAAGTAAATGTAAACAAACATAATATTGTTGACAATACGTGAATCTTACTTTAGTCCGCGCAGTTATGGCAATTCACATTCACTAGAAACGGTATGCTCCGGAATAATTCAGTTCGACAGCAAACAGTTTTAGAATCTTAGTTACATTTTCGAGTAATGGTTTACATTATGCTTCTAAGCTGATGCATAAATTGAAAGATCACTAAATTTTCGAGAGTTAAGAAGATCCCTAATATGCATTTCTGAAGTTGAGAATAATGTTTCGATCAAATTCTTAATCTGAAACAATCAAAGTCCTAATGGTAAGATATTTGCAAATCATGCAAATTCAATGGTAATGGGCATTTATCATGTTCACTAGAATATTAGCATGTAGGGGAGAATGGAAATGTATTTTGGCATACAGTTAGTCAAATTATTGATATATGTATAATGATGATAATAATGGTCTAATAATGCCACATTGATTAAAACCACTACGAATTTGAGCCTCATGAAATAGAGAAGTTTCAACAGAAAGTCTCTGAATATGTCTGAGGAAAATGCCTTTATCCACTGCAGGATTTTCCTTCTCATACAGTGATTCTCACAGAGGTGGTGGGGGGAGGGGGTAGGTAAATTACTTTCTGGGGCATATTTGGGGTGTCAAAGGGTAGTTGAGGAGGTCGGTAAACTAATATTTCGTGTAGTTGTTATGTTATGGTGGAACGCCATTGCGATGGTGTTCAACACTCTTCTTTATCCTATTTTCTGAGTATTTTCAGCACGCCATAGGCCTGAACAAAAACCAACTTGAAGTAATCGCAAGTATTTCCTAACTTCTTTAATATATTGGCTGAACTCGTCTCTTATGAGCAATAGGAATTAATTGTGTCATTTGGTGGAGCAGGAAAGATCACTGGTTTGGTGCGAGACGAGCGAGTATTTTTGAATTCATCCACTATTATTATTCCGTTACGCTGAGAAAAAATTTTTAGCGATATTTCAATCATTGCAAATAATGGAATTTTTGGTTCGACAATGAATTTTTTTAAACGAAGTAACTGCTCAGTTGTGTCATAGGTATGTGTTTCTTGACAAATGTGCATTACGCAGTGGTGGATGTGTTGTGGCATTCTAGACTGAAAATAATTGCTTTCATATTTATGAATGAGATACGTAGGCATGTTGTTGTTTTCAATCGTCCTCCAAAATTGAAATTGCATTCTTGGAAATAGTCAGTTCTTGTAGCGGAGGGAGGGGCAATGACGGCCTGCCAGATTATCGAAGGGATAATGGAGCTCCTTAGCGTGAAAACCACTACCGCAAGTTACAGGTTTCAGTTTCACGAAAGGAATGCTACTAGGGAATATGTCAAATGCTTCAGTATAATATATATATATAT